AGTACTAATCCGTGATGTATACTAATATGGTAATATACTGATTGATTTGAAAATAGTACTATTTTTCTGTTTGATAGGTTCACTAGGATAGTTTGGTAAACCAGATGTCCTTTAGTTAAAACTATGCTTTTGTTGCATCAACTAAGCAAAATGTAGTCCTATTACTGAAAAATTCATTTAAGAGATATGCGAAGGTGTATATATTCCTAAAATGTTTCGTGGTTTATTGATCATTGAGTAAAAGAAATCTAACAGCTTTTGTTTCAACAGTAAGGTTAACTGTGTGATTTGTTACCTTTATAAGGCATGATCGTTTAACCTGATATTCGATGACTAAAACCGTGTATATTGCATGATTTTCATGAGTGATTGTACTATCTAATGAATTACGTTTATCAATAATTCGTTATGAATTGTATGAAGGTCTCTTCAACCATTATTTTAGCATAACTGTCTGTTTGTTACTACAGGTAATTTAGCTATAAATATAGTAGATTGTTATATGTTCAGTTATCCTTTATTTCAATAAATATGCAATGGAACTTTATTAGTAAAGCTTGTTTTAATAAATGATGAAACATTCAAAGTTTGATACAAATAACTGCACTATCGTTGATCACTCGATAAACAATATATGAGAATCAATATATAGATTTGGTAATGAATTTCAATATCTATCTTCCTAAATATCTACAGTGTTAACAATTTTCCTAATTGATAATTTCATTCCTACCATGTTAAAAGATACTTCCAATTGTTATAATAAAAAAATATTTCATCATATAAACCGTCAAATATATAAATATCAGTGTTTCAATCTCAATTTGTTTTTGACAATTTAGTCAATGAAATGTATAGAAAAGAGAGTATTTGTTATATACAGTTAAAATACGATTACATAACTTTTTAAGTTAGGTTCAAACGAATCTGCTTTTTTTAAGGTTACTGTATTGCCATTTGTAACACAAAGCATATGATGATTACGGTAATTTTTTATACGTAAAGTTATGTTATTCTTTGAAATGTTTTTGAATAAGTTTTTCTGGCTAGCGTTTTTTTAGCATGTTAGTGCTCTGCGGGATGGTGTCACTAACCCCATCCTCAAACCTCCTCTTTTATCCGGGCTTGGGACCGCCAGTAGCCCCCGAGGGAATCCAGGCGGAGTTATTCTTTGTAATGCTAATCAATAAATCCTTACAGTTTATATATTATAAAGCAAAGATGTTTTTGAGATTGATTTCTAGAATTGGCGTTGAATACAATCATTATATTTATTGATGGTAAACTGTAAAACAGCATGATAAATTAGGCGGACAATTTGATACTTGACAGATAATTTCCATTTAAACATTCAAATTAAAACACGAAGTTCAGCGAACAAAAACATTTTAATCATCTTATTATATTCACTAAATCTATTTTTATTCGTATTACGTAATCTAGTGTTATAATCTTTTTCTTACGTCATGGTTGATTGTGTTCACATTTCCTCACGGAACTAGTACTCGTATATTTACCATGCAACTACAACTACGAATGTACAGCCGGAGTAAATGATTTTGTTGAAAAAAAAGTTTCTTCACTGAATTCTTTTTATTTTTTATTCAATGACACAATGAGATGTTTTAATTATCTAACATATTTGACTTCTGTACTTGCGATTAGTTTATAAATTATGATAAATATAACATTAGAAAATAATTTCAATCTTAATAAAAAAATATAGATTTTTTCACAAATTGAAATCATGGAAAACCTGGAAGCACTGGACGGCCGTTTCATCCTGGTGTGGGACTCCTCAGCAGTGCGTATCCATGACCCTGCACCTCGCTAGTTTCGAACTCAGAATCTACTGGTTTCGCGCGCGAGCACTTAACCATTAGACCACTGAGCCGGCATCTAACGATGTTAATGTCTAACTTCAACCAATCCACTAAGTTGCGCGCGCGAAACCAGTAGGTCCCGGGTTCGAATCCAGCGAGGTGCGGTGTCATGGATGTGCACTTCTGAGGAGTCCCATACCAGGATGAAACGGCCGTCCAGTGCTTCCAGGTTTTCCATGGTGGTCTAGCTTCAATTGACTCATGATTTCAACTTGTGAAATTTCTAAAAATCTCCACAAAACACATTCTGATAGATTTTTTTGTTATATTTCAATGATTAGAAAACTTTTATTTCTGACATTTCGTTATTTAATGTAGATCACTTCTTCGGAGTAAATAAACAACTAAAATAAAGAGAACACATGTTTAAATAGTACAAAGGAAATATTGAAGAATATTTTTGGTACAATCGAGAACATAGTTGTGATATCCTGATAAGAATAATGAATGGCAACTTTTGTGATCCATTTATAGACCAATACGATACATGTATTTTTATTGTATAATTATTAAGTGGCTAAACTATTCATATTCGCGTTCTTCTTACCATAAGCTTTATTTTGACCTATGAACTTTGATTATATGATATACAATTCTTCAGTATGCCCTGTCTATCAATTATTATGTCCCACAATCATAGCCACTTTTGGTTATATCTTGTACAAATCTTGTTTCCTATTTTATGGTACGATGTGGTCTATCTGGTCGGTATATAAACCCAGTATGTTTGAAATAAATGAATCATATCGCAGACGCTGAGATTGGTGTTCTGGACTTCACAGGCTGGGCTATGCAGGAAGCAGGACTAATTAAATACTCCAGACTGCTAGTACGGGTTTTATGCATCATTGGTCCGGTAGATAATTCACTGTTCTCTGATTGGCGGTATCATTATGCTATACATTAATAGGGCACACAGGCCACAAATTATAACAATAGTAGGTTTGAATATGTCAATATCAAGTTATTCTTGATCAAGGTGACTTTGTATGACTTGTCACTGTATTAATTTATGCATCAGAAGGTGGGTATGAAAAATGTATTCATTTACAGTATGATGTAGTGGGGTTAAAATTGAGTGTATATGTGTAGATTGCGTGGAAAATAAATAAAATAAGAAAGATGGGTTTCGTGGATATTATAGTAATCTCGATGGTTGGCATACGTGCATACTGTGCGTATGCCAATAACAGACTGATCAATTGCAGTGCTAAACATCAACGGGAACGTTCAAGTAAAACAATACCAAGTGAATTTAAATTCACCCCATTGCAAAAGCAAGTGGCTATCAGAACTCAATAGCTTTGTGGAGAACCCGTTGGCGTTTGAAGCGAACAGCACTGAGTTCGAGTCCAAGAGTGTCCAGCTGACGAGTCCCAAAAAGACGTAACGCGCGTCCTGGATTCCACTGCTAGCCACTATCCATCTTTGCTTATAAATTAAACCAGTTGTAATATTGTAGTGAACATGAACATAGGGGGACAACTAAATGTAGTTGAATACTGTAGTGGCTTAGCTTCATTAATCAATCACCCTAATAACCGTAATTACATAAATCTCAATGGTGTTTGAAATTAGAAGGTAATTAGAAGCTGCGACTATAATTTACCAGCGGATAACACAGACAACAAAGTCATATGCAGATCGAGCGAATTTGAAGCAAAGGGGAAAGTGTGCATGCGAGCGCATACCGAAGAAAATTCGCAGTCAAATCGGATAAGACGCAGCTAGGCAAGGCAAAGGCTAATAATAGAATTTGAGTATATATACACATGAAAAAGAGAAGGATTCATCGGGTGACATTTAAGCTATCAACATTTTGGCTAAGGAGAGATATCATGCGATAAAGAATACACGTTTATACAGACAAGATAATAGTACATAGTAGTACAAAGAAATATGCGAATTGTTACTGTTCAAATAACATTGTCTGCTAAGTAACCATTATCGAAATTGATTATACGAGAGTTGCTATAAAACAGTAAATAATTCATTTGCAAAATATCCATTAACTGTCTCAGACTTCATTGTTCCTTCGTTTCCATACCAATCATTCTCTTTCCTCGTTCTCTTCACATCAATCTTCTCAACCTTCTGCTTTCAGGTTTTCCACTTTCTATTGATGATACATACTACTTATATCTGTCGACATCAGTAGCAAACACCACAATATTAACACAAAAACCATGCTGAATTAAAACGTGATCATATATTTTACCGTATCTTAAAACCTTTGTTAAATCTTTTGCAAATCGACAATAGGAAATCTTTTAACCATATTTTTCTAGGTTTGAAGAGATTACGAGATCATCTAAAATCGATGAACAGGACTAGGTATGAGCGTCATAACGACCAGCTAAACTAACTATTCCGAAGCGTCTTAGCCCCACTAACTAGAGAACGAACACCAAAATCAGAAAAAGGAAAGTATATTTCACAAGCGTCCATAAATATGTACTACCACAAGCACACAACTCGAGTGTATATATGCAGCATAAAACTGTCCTTGTGAAACGTCACGAAATAGCATATTAAAAGAGGGAACGAACCAGTAACATTTAGGGTCCTTTCAAGTGGGGAATACAATCTGAGTGTAAAAATGGGCACTTTTGGCACGAAAACAAAAAGATTCAAATTTCCAAAATAGAATTACAAAAATAAGACATTTACCAAGTGATTTCTTACGACTTAACATCCTCAACATATTTAAGCGCATTCTGAGATTTATTACAGGTTGAACGCTATATACATACTCTGTTGAGTAATCAAACACACTTACATGCAATAAGCAGCCTTGGAATAGTATTTTTTATAGGTTTTCATGGTCATATAGTTCATAGACAGATGTTCCCAGGATATTTATTACAATTAATATGGTTTTATATAAGTCTTTATAATTTTTATACTATACATTCAATTATTTACAGGTTACGTAATTAAACAGCTTGATGATAAGTGTCCAAGCATATTTTCCACTTACTTTTGAGTAAGTAACATTTCTCATAAAAATTCATAGGTTATAATTATAACTTTACTGCAGCTTGAGTGAATCATTTTTGGTAAGAAATAACCTAATGGAATTATATACATTAAGTGTAATATTGAAAATCAAAATAAGGAAAGTAATATATATTTGAAATATTAGTAGATAATCGTGTTCAATTTCTTTAATATTCATAAAACTATTGAGATGGCTCTCAAAAGGCTCAACGAAACCTTCAAAAGCTCTAAAGGAACCAAAGTCTTAAACTGTATTACCTGTAATCGTTTAAAGGATTTTACCAAAGAACCTCTTCACTTTATTTTACCTTGAAATCTGATTATATTTAATTAACTTGTAATAGTTAATTTCATTACAATATTCAAAGTAATATCCATTCAAACAGTTACTTATTCTAGATCGTCCAATTCTCAAAACAAGAGAATACTTTACAAATAGGCTGTTATAAAAATAATATAAGAAAATTAAAATAAGAAAATAGTTTCAAATCTGTTAATTGACTTTTAAATCAAAGTTAAATCCATGGTATCAATAGCATTTCGGAAATCTGTAAACTGTATTGTTATGTAATAGTTTTCATCAATTTGCAAGAATTATAGGAATTAACATTTGAAAATAACCACTAAATTTTAATTAGTTACAAGATTCATATACAAATATTTCTATAAGAAAGTTTTATATTTGTTATTTTATATTAGGAGCTGTAATATTAAGCAGACCTTCTATCCAGTCACCAGGTTTAGATATTACAGATTCCCACAATGATGTACTTTTCGTTATTGTACTGCCTTGATACACATTAGCATTTACGTTGTTATCATTGATCGTATCCATTAATTCAGATTCTTCTTCGGTTTAAAAAAAAGGCAGGAAGAAAAAACAAAAATAAAGAAATGTATTTCATAATAATAAACATTTTTAGGAGAATTGTAATATAAACTTGATATTCTCAGGAGTATGTAGGTGTACTGAAAGAAGGTTATAGCAGTAAGTAAGGGGAAGGATAATGTATTTTAGAGTTGAGAGAAAACCGTTGAATGCCGGCCGGATCAGTGGTCTAGAGGTTAAGCGCTCACACGCGAGACTGATAAGTTTTGGGTTTGAACCTCACGGGTGGGATCGTAAACGCGCACTGCTGAGGAGTCTCGTAGTAGGACGAAACGGCCGTCCAGTGCTTCCAAGTTTTCCATAAACGTCTAGCTTCAACTGACTCATGATCTCAATTATTAAAATTACTATAATATCCACAAAACCCCTTCTGAAAATTGTAGTATTTATAGATAAAAATAGAAATGATATGTGACATAGGAAAATGATATTTTACATGAATCGGCCAAACATTTCCTTAAATATTATCTTCAGGTCTCGATGCTTGAATTAAAATTCAACCAGTGAGCTTGAAAAAAATAGTTCATATCTTTGATTGATATGAAATTTCTTGAATGTTGATTTTCCATTCTGTGCTGAACAGTTTAATTTATGTTGCCATTTATACGTTTTATGGGAAAGTATGGAATAATTTCAACGAAATCATCATTATCAACAGTCATTTTTGCTTATGAATATGTTGTTGACGAATAAAGAATGTTACGTAATAATTATAACTGGCGATTATTTCGTTCTGCCGTCATTGATTATCGTATTATTGTATGTTCTTAAAAGATAATGGGACAAAAGACTGTATACTAAGTATTCATTTATTCATTCCTTCCTAAAATATCTATAATTGTCTGATTTAGGCCTTATGTTTGTACATAGTAGTTTAATTTGCAATTTAATCATCTGTGGGGTATTCACTTTCACAAATATATATATATATATATATATATATATATATATATATATATATATATATATATATATAATTCACGTATTTACCTTTATTGGAAATTTGTACGATTCCTAATAGTTCTGGATCACTAAAGCTGCTTGAACGATTCCAAATAAATATCTTCATAGTAGATTCGATTAATTCACTAAGATGTTTGTCTGAAAACTGAAGTAAACTATTCCAAACTGGTTGGTCACTTCGTAGAATTGAATCAGTACTTCGACATTCTGTTTTGTGCTCAGGATCAGTTAGTTCCCTAATTAAATTAAATAATTGCATGAATAGAGTTGATAAAAGCAAGTATTTATTTGATAGATTTTATTTGATGTCAAACTATGTCTGTTAATTGTTCACTTATTGGGATCTATTCAGTGCCTTTTAATTTTCTATACTGTAAAAACAGTGTACCATATAACTGAATATTGAATATTCTGTAAATATCGTTATTGCTGTTTAGTTTATTAAATATGGAAAAACTTACGGACTATTCATTCATCTAAAACGTAGATGTAATAAAACAATATTTAATATTTTAGTCCATTGAAACACGATGGATACTTAATTCTTTTCACTCCATCTCACTTGAATATCGTACACTAACAATCGAATACACAATCCATTGTAGGGATGTTTATTCTTATGGTAATCGCAAGTTAGTTGAGGTATCTGGTCTTCATCAAGATGTCAATATTTCAAAAAACTATCACCTTATTATATTTGCTATTTGTTATTAAATGCCATCAGTTGGTAACTGTTATACCATTGATATAGTTAACTCTACAAGCTGTAATTGATGTACACATTATAAAATTCAAAAATAAATTTCATGAGTGAAGTTGTTATTTGATTTTTAAAACACAGAATTATAATTGTAAACGTACACGGTCACGTAAGAACTTATATCTGTACCAGCTTTTTGTGAATGCAAATTCTTTCCTTCTTTTATCCATACATTTAATACGCCAATCAAATCAATAGCTTCATCAGTTACACACAACACTTTTTTCTGATAATCAGATATTGCAAAACGTAAAGCAAGTTTGATTTCACCGTAGTAAGCTGAATTTATGTTAGGATTTGTAATGATTGAATTCTATAAGAAAAAATATTATTGACAGATTATAAATCTTTTGTTATAAATAAAACAATAGATTTAAATGTTCTACATGAAATATTTATTCATTTACGCTTTTCTTCTTATGATCCATAGCCTAACGGTCAAGCAGCATGTTTAATGGATACCTTTAAGCAAGCTTTACCTTAAGAGAAGATTGAATGAAAATCTGAGTAATTATCAAGTTATTAAGGTTTTATTCAGTTACAGCTAATCGTTTTGTTTCAGTGTGGAAATCGTTTGTGGAAAGAATATCAGCAAAAGGTGTCAGGATGACGTTTAAACTCCTGTTCTAGCCAACAAAGATAGAGAGACAAGGAGGGAATATGTACACCTGCAGTTTTTATGTAAAAGATAAAGTGTTTGTAAAGTCATATCACAGTACAAATAAATAGGGACTAGGAACTATAGGAAGAAAAATTGGAAAGGTTTTGTTCATTGTGCGAGAGATACTTGGAACGTGGGAAAAACAAATCGTACACTTAGCGATAAATATAGCAATGAACATAGAAGACGATGTAATTAATTTTCAGCTTATTATACTAATGGATACCTCGCGAATGAACCCACTCATTGATGACAAACTAAGAAACAGAAGTGGTAGGAGTTGTATGAGCATAACAACTCAGAAAATAGAACGTTAACGGAAACCTGAAACTAGATAGACCAGAAAAAAATCATACTTTTCACAAGAGAGAAGGTCCTTGGTAAAGTTTACAAAGTTAATAGGTTGAAAACTCTTTGTCTAGTAATTATACATTAGAGATTTCCCCTGGAGAGTTTAAATAAACGATAGATAGTCTGTCATATCTTGATTGGTTATTTACCAATTTGTGACTAAACTTAGAATGTTTCGTGAATATTACAGAATATCAAGCTCTCAAATGAAGCTATAAACATCTTTGTTTTCTCATTTTAAACTTATCTTGAACGTAAAACCTTTTTCTTACTTCTCTCATTGTATCTTTCATTCAGAGTTCAAATGTAGAAAATTCTGGGGATCAGTGAATAGTCAGAAAGTCAGTGTCAAACATGTGCATACTATATATATCAAAATGTACAAAAAAAACTATCTTCTGAATAGTTGAATGTGTATGAATGCTATTGAATTGCTTGGTAAACTATCGCTTTGACTTTATCTGGCAATCATATATAGGCATTATTTAAACGGTAAAGAATGATATCTAATTTGAATAATAGTTTACTTTTCATGCTTCTTTATAGCGTACAAAATTTGTGACCGTCAATCATTGTGTTCAATACATAGAGATGAATTTCCGTAATTAGTTCTTAAATATTTGTGAAGAACAGAAGTTTCATGTAGTTAAAGTCACAATTTAAACCTACTTCTATTCATTACTTTGTACTTGAAATCACTTTAATTAAATTTCGCATATCCACAGCGTTTGGCCTATTGCTCAGAAATGTTATACATCTTGTATATTTTCTGGAATAGCTAAAGATCAACCGCTATTACTATTCAAAAGCAACTGATTTGTGCAGCTCATAAGCAAACACTCCCGATATGTTTAAATTCAAGGAAAATATGGGTAAATGCTTTATATTTAACAACTGTAAATAAAATTGGTTCTAATAGAAAGAGTTTAATGTATCTTATTTTGTTTTGCCCCTTATGATATTATATTTTTCATGAACACTTACATTTTCACTTATCAATTGAAAGCATTTTCTACATGGTGAGAACAAAAGATTACATTCTTTTATAGGAATAACAGTTTGGCCAATGGTGAATTGTGATTTTATACCATTTCTAGACCATAACTTTATCACAATAATTTTCTTGTTTAAATCACATCTATGTACTGTAAAACAAACACTCAGATCAAAAACTGCATCTCTTCCATCCCATTTATTATTACCAGATACTTTGAGATTATATTTGACATTATCTGGAAGCAATGAGATTGTAGCATGACTAAAACATATATAAGCAATAAAAAAACAAACTCGAATCACTTCAATGTAGTTGTTATATTATAAGCTTTACACAGTTTAACCTTTTTTATATAGAAACAACGAAAAAACGTACATTCTATTTATCATCAGTTTTGAAAATGTTGATATGAATCAAATATTGGCAACAAATTCGCTAGATAATAATGACCCTAATGTCCTAGTACTTTGTATTGATCACTTTATAACTTTTAAAATCAAAAGATAATACATATTTATACATTAATTAGACTGTTTTACTTGCTTTCAAACTAAATCGTCAGTCAATTCAACTACATTTCATAAAGTTATGATATTGAGTTTCCTATAGAAAATGAAGCAAAACGTTTTTACATGAAACCTCAACGTTTTTTTAAGTTAAAAAGGCTTTGTTGTTTAAATGAACTAATGATACATTTGTACTTGTTGAATGCTTGATTTCAAATTCTAAATACAATAAATTCGTTTGTGGTTATCTAGTACTTCTTGATCCTATTACGTTATTTCTGGGATTCTTAGTTCATACTATAATTCAAATACTTTCGATTATCACAAAGGCTTAAGCATTTCTTATATAGGACTAACAGTAAATAATTCACTTATAAAACAAGTTAAATAACAGAGGAATTATTTTTAAAATATACTCAAATACCTTGATTACTTTCTTGAATATTCATTGTAACTTCAGTAACTGGGAAATTGCAATATGGTTATCTACGTCTTAAACATTTTCAACTGTTACCATCGTACATTAAGATACTATGATTTTGTTAGCATAAAATACATAGAACCATAGTTAACAAACTACAGTCTGATTATGATTTAAATAAAACTCTCTCTTCATTTGCTTTTACAGACAACATTCTATTCACTATGAGTGATTACTTAAAATGTGGAGTAAATAAATAAAGGTGGGTAAAAATTAACCCATTTTAGATTATTAAAGAAGATAAGTTACTCAAATAAAATGTTATACAAAATCTTACGGTAAGCCGATTATATATTTTTCATGTGCTAAATTATTAGCAGCCCATAAACTAATTCCAAGTTGTTGATATTGAGCATTATATTCCATTGATACATCAATTTCACCATGAATTGATTCATCCATTTCATTATAAGCTTTATAGTGATTTGATTTGAATGATTTACTCTAGACATTAAAAAGGGATAAAATGAAATGAAAATGTATGTAATATTTTGCATTACTATTTCATGATAAATTCACTACGGATCTAAAATGTTTACATTCAAATTAATGATATGAAGCTCTGTAATTCTATCGAATTATGAAACCGACTAAACATTAATTAGTTAAATAAAAAACGTGGTACATTCAGTATCATGAATTAAAAACTTCATTTATTTGCTAAATACACAATACTACTTAGAATTATTAACCACGAGATGGTGAAGATTTTAACAGAGTTTTGCTCACTGAGCTAGATGGTTTGGTTGTGGAGCTTTCATCATTATTCTGAACGATATCATCGGCAAAAATTTCAGGTAGAAGTGAAGTGTTCCAATTTCTCCACATGTGGTTCACCAATCAACATTAAAGTCTATAGGAGAAGCTGTGAACCACATGTCAAGAAATTCGAACACTTCACTTCTACCTGAAATTTGTGCTGATGATGTCGTTCAGAAGAACAATGAAAGCTCCACGACCAAACCATCTAACTAAGAGAACAAAACTACATCAAAATATTAACTATAATCTAGAGTACATTTATTTTGTTACGGCTTTTTATTAAACGACATTTTTTGAAAGGATTCCTTCAATGAATGACTTATTTTTTGATCTATTAGATATACTTAAATAAAATCAAGTTATAGAGGTTAAGTAATTGTGGAATAGTTTGACGGTGTACATTTATAGTTTGTTTACAAACCCATTGTACTAAAAACTAGATTTGCTTTAAATGACGTTTTATGATCGTCTAATGTTGGATTCCATTAGAAATAAGATTGAACTTGAGAAATGTTTCATCATAAAATGAGACTTAACTACAATGTAAACTAACAAGTTCATTTGAATAGTGACTCAGGTTTCCGATATATCTAAATGATAAATTCAAATGATTCTTATATTTATATTCATTCAGTATGTCAATTGAAAAACTCACAAATTGTTCAGAAGGCAAGTAGTTTAACAAAAAACTGTAGTATTAGCATATTGTTTTCAACTATAATATGCAAAATCTAAACATTTTATAGTTAACAATGAAATACATTAACTAATCTGCTTGTCTAACTTTAGCATGTATGAATTCTATTGTTTGATTAATCTGATTTTGTACGGACATTTTTGTAAATGGTAGTTGATTCTATTTACCCAAGTGACAGTAATGTATTCATAATGATTTCACGCAATAATTTCAAAACAAAAGAGAAACGTGATACTCAATACATGGAAATTATTCTTCTGTCTAATTTTGTTATTAACTCTCCGTAAAACTACAAATCACATGAAGATCTATAGAATGATTAGCAGGTAATCAGCTGCCAACAGTTATCAGATGATCTTATTTCTCAATAATAATAATAATAATAACATGGAGACAAAATGTGTGGTAGTAAGTGTATAAATAAAGTATAAAAACAGCTTATCGATAATTGAGAATAGAACAAATATAAAATATGGAATTTTTAACTATTTAACAGTTGTGGACGATAAATATCCACTGTGTTGTGTTAACGTTAGATACAAAAAAAACGTAGCCGAATGTCAAAAAATATGATTTCAGATTGATCATATGTAGTCAGTTTAAATAGACCGATAAAGATTGTGCTTCATTTTATAAATCGTATAGAGGAAACTTAAAAGACTAATACAGTCATGTCATTTATGTATTCAGTCACAAAGTAGTTACATAAATACAACTTATATAGTGTTTATAAATAAATCTCATAATTATGTTAAAACAGTTATTGTTTTAAGTGATAGAACAGACCAAACAAATTGTTAGGGAAATTCAGAAAAGTCCTCGAAAAAAAATTCAAGAAAGGCTCAAAAAACACTATGAAGCATCTTATCCAATCAGCATTTATTAGAAGTTTTGTCAGAAACATCTAGAAGGTGAAAAGTCACATGTCGAGTTTCTGATTAAATGCTACTATGTTTAGTAGCATTCCAGAATTTTCCGGAAACCCAAGGCCATCTAGAATATTATAAATACCCTAAACTTTCTGTACATAAGTGAACTTTTGGAGTAAAGTGTTCTTTCTGTATCTCGCGCTTTTCCTCTCGTGTTAAAGTTGATGTGTAGATCTAGCCTGGGGGTTACTAGAAGACCTTAGGAACCGAATCTACCGTTCCATTAGAAAATTTATCACGAAGAGTGAATAATGACTGTTAGTATATAGACAGATTAAGTAATTACTCATTTCTGTTGATTTAATGTAAAATCGTTTTGCTAAACTGTATTACATAACATTGTATCAATGATCTTTGCAAGCGGAATCCCTAAAACTGTAAATTAGTTTTACTGTATTATTAACATATATTTTAGACTGTAAAATATGTAATGTGTTATATTAAACAATTAAAGATTTATCACTAAATAACATTTTATGTTTGGATCATTATTTAGCGGTATCATTATCTACTTGCAAGTCCTTATATTAATTTGCACTGACTTCGAGATAACAGAAAACCTTCGAATAAAAAGTTTTCCCTCCACGTACCGACCTCAACGAATGAAATAAACATAAATTCCAATCATCTACATAGTCACTAGTCAGTGTAGGTAGTGAAATCTAATGAAATAAAAACTGTAACGCTATAAGTCATTTGTTGTTGGATAGTTAAATGCTCTACCCCAGTTCTTAGAGTTTACCCAATAAGAAATTTATGTCAAAATGACTTGTGAGCCTGAGGAAGATTTTCGGAGATTCGAACATGAGTTATGAAGCTTCATGCAGATTTTAGTTTTTCATCCTATATCAGATCCATTGCACCACAAAGTTGAGTAACTACCTACTAGCATGAGTAGAAGCATTCAGTAGGTGATCAAAATTAATAATTTGATAGTTTTAACGTTTTAGCTTCACAACTTCTTCATAGATAATGAAAAATACTTGTAGTTTGTACTATACGTAAATCTGCTCGCTGCTAATCTAATACAACACTAATAGCCACCATACTACTTTGTTACGATTAGTAGTTTGAAATGATGTAAATAATTTGTATGCCTTTTCAAATATAACGACCGTAACAAACTAATAGTCTGTTTTTTTTTCAGATTTACATCACCATCTGATCTTAGTTAGGTAATCAGTGAGAACTGGAAGGCGCTAGAAACAGTATGGGACTCCACCAAAGTGCATATTTATAGCCATTATAGTCATAATGCTACTTCCACGAAATCTGAACTCCATAACTCTCTCACCAAACACCGTTAATTGCTGATTTTGTAGCTTGACATCGTAACATATTTTCCTTACTGACTTGTGATAAGTGATGCCACTAATTTCTTGGACATTTACATGAAGGATACATTTTCCTCCAGTTAAAACTTTTAACAATGTTATTAAATACCGTAACAGCTGAAAACATGAGATGTGTAGCTTTCTCAGTTTTGTTTTGTTTTCTATAAAACCAGCATACTTCTAGAAACACCATGTCTTATTCTTCTCTGATTCATTCTCTCTTTCGATGTGACGAACTTTTCATGTATTATCTGCAAAATCAAAGCTAGTATGACTTTTATCATATGATTGCAATAACGTATAACTGAATTCATCAAATTGTTCTATATATAGTCTGCTTTAAGGCGGATAACGTATTTTATGATTACACATAAATACGCATGCTAAAATTGTGGAGTTACAGGTTACCGAAAATCAGGTAGGAATACACCAGTTTCACATGTATGACTGAAGCATTGAAAAACGAAATTTTAAGTTTTTCTCGGAAATTATGAAACTTTGAATTATTATGTGTTAAATAGTGATCTACTCACCTTCTTCAATAGTCCTTTTAGTCGTAATAGGCGTCTTTTCCTTCCAGATTTCTTTTTGAACTCTTCATGATCTTCAGACGAATCATTTATTTTACCCAAATAATCACACGACTGAGAACGAAAAAGTGTTGATTGTTCTAAGAATCCAGATAATTTTTTATCCATTGTACTTTGAGAGCCAGATTTTAAATATTCCCAAGAGTTTTTAATTTTTAAAGTTTGTGGTGACTTAGATCTCGATTTTTCTTTACTTTTAACTGGATGAGTTTCTTCCATTAACTGATTATTATTTATTACAAATAGAAAGCCATAAATATTATATGGAAAGGTAAAATTTACGAGATCTGTCTTAAATGTGTATTGTGTAGTAATAGTAATAATAATTATATTAGTAATGTAGTGAACAAGAACACACAACAAAAACAACCAAATGAATCGCAACATAACATTACAGAATAACTTGGTAAAATCTGAGAATCAGACAGTAAATGCTTCATTCGCAAAATATCCATCAATTGTCCCAAACTTTGTTGTTTTTTTGTTTCCATAGCACTTATTCTCTGTTCTCGTTCACTCCGCTTCAATTTTATCGACCTTCTGCCGCCAAGCATTCCAATTTTAATTGACAATACATACTGCTTATATCTGTCGCCATCAGTAGCACACACTACTGTAGTGGTATTGTAGTGGTAGTAGTGCAGTTGTAGTAGTGAAGTAGTAGTATCTACTTAATAATTAAGGCTACTCCTGGTGTTTTAATTTGTGATAGTTAATAAGAGAAAAATCGATTAGAAGATGATCATATCATCTTGTAAGAAACAATCTTGTTAAAAAACGCTGACCAGAATAAACAACTTAAACTCTGCTCTCCGAGTTAAAGGATATTCACTCAGACTACTTATGACGCCACAAAGTGAAGGCCGGGATTCCTCGCAAGTAACAAGGTCGATTCCCTTTCTAACAACCAGGACAACAATTAATTTAGGCCCATAGAATGTCCGGAAAATGTGGGAAATTGAGAGGACTATTCAAATAGCTGCAAAATGAGGACATATAACATGACAGTTCTTGGAACAAGCGAATCCAATTGAATTCATGCAAAGATTAGATTCGGGAGAGATGTTATTGTATTCTAGTCATGAAGAAGAAAATCCTCAAAACACTTGGAGAGTTGCTCTGATGACGTTCAAAGAAGCACGTAAAGCGCTGATAGGATAGGAATCTTATGGATCCCGAATCATCAAAGCATCCTTCAAAACAGAGAAGGAAGTAATCAAAATGAATGTTATTAAATGTTACGCACTCATCAATGATAACAATGATGACGACAAAGATAAATTTTATGAGAAGCTGCAATCGATCACAGTAAATTGGTCAGAAAAGGACCTGATGAGATATTGTTGAACTGAATGAAAGGTTCAGTAGACGTCCATCTTCGAAATTGACATATCGGATCTCGTAAAGATTGGTCACAGACACAGACCAAATAGGTACATCATTGTAGAGCAATCAACTGAATGCAACTTGTCACTAGACATCAACTTCACTGAATATGAAAAAGTATTTGACAATGTGGATAGAAGGAACTGATGGAACCTACTTCAACACTATGAAGTGAGTAGCCGAAAGGATCGTCAACATCACGCGTAACTCATACGACGGACTACAGTACAAAGTGGTGCATGGAGTACAGCTGACAGATGCATTCCAAGTGAGAACTGGAGTCGAACAAAGCTGCTTAATCTCCCTCTTTCTCTCTCTTCCAATGACCAACTGGATTGTAAAGACCTCCACATCTCAAGGAAAACACCGAATACAATGGACAGCTAGGAATCAATTAGATGATTTGAAATTCACAGGTGACCTATCTCTTCTATCTTATACACAGCAACAAATTAAGGAGACGTCAGCCGGTGAACTACCAGTCTCTGCATCAGTAGGCCTCAGCATACACAACTGAAATGCAAGATCTTGAAATACTACACAGAGAGCACCAACCCAGTCACACTTGATGCAGAAACTCTGGAAGAGTTGGAAACTTTCAAGTACCTGGAGAGAATGGTCGATAAATAAGGAGGCACAGATTGACAAGCCATTTGCATGAAATAGTGACATTCAGTTCATCTATCGCTACAATGATCTCTTCCTAACATTTCTGACAGTTCCTTCGATTTCAGATTTTTCCCCATTTATCAGTTTTTATGTTTTTCGTCTGCAAGTGTTGTTTCGATCGTCGAATGTGTAATACATTCAAAATCTTAAGGTGTCAATTTATAGTTTCGATTATAGATTTTCTTAATCTTAATTATATGTTCTTGCCCGGTGTTATCGATTGTCCTCATCACCAGATATAAGTGCATTTTATGTGTTAACTGATAGATTGAATTACTTTTTCACCTATTCGTCTCTCTTCCGAACTCTCACAGATTCTCTAACCTTCAAACTAACACATATTCCACATTACAACCAAATGAAAACCTACTGAAAGCTGAGTGTTGCAGCTGGAATTGTGTTGTTCATACAGTAATTGGCTGTTACATAACTAGTTTGTCATATATTTTATACATAATTTTTATATAACTATTTCAGAAGACATTTTTTAATTGGACTGTACATTAACATTGTAAATGCCTTAAATCCCTCACAATTTGAGGTCTGTTAATGTATTGCTTACATTGTTATAAATAATATCATCGTATTCTCAACATATCTCGTGTCCTTATTCGGGCATTTTTACGTGTTGGTTATTTAATTAGAAGTGCAAATCAAAATAAATAGAAACATAACCGTTATTGAATACTTTCTTGGTGTAATTAAGATTATTAAATTTCTTCCTTAACACTACTTAAAACCGTTTTGGTAAAGTGTATACTTGACTAGAAATATTCAATGGGTTATTTGTTATCGTTTGATAAATAAGATGAAGTCACTTGTTGATTTCTTTCAGGTAAGATCTATTTTCCTCAACAAGTTTAAATCAAATAACAGACGTGAAAAAAGACTTGATGAACAAGTTAGAAAACATTTAGTGAGTATAAATAAACTACACTACAAGGTTGCTGCTGATGTATTCCAGTTGCTATGTTCGGGGAGATTAGGAGATCACTTAAAATCGGCAAACTAAACGAAGGATAGGAGTCACAACGACAAAACATACTCAACTATTCCGATGCGTCCTAGCAGCGCTAACTATAGAGAGAAAACCTGGTTAACATGTGGGAAAGTATATTCCACAACCAGCCCTGAAGCACGAACAACAACAAGCACATAGCTCAAACGTACATATACAGCATAAAAATGTCCTTGCGAAACGTCACAAAATAATGTATTAAGAGAGGGAACGGGACAATGATATTTAAGGTCCTTTCAAGTAGGAAATATAATATGAAGGTGAAAATGGGCGCTTTTGGCGCGAGAATGAGAAATTTAAATTTCCAGAATGAAATTACAAAAATATGACGTTTACCAAGTGATTTCTGGGGATCTAGCATATCCAACATCAGGACTACGAATCATAAAGTCCTTCGCCTCTTTCCATTGGAATTTGCAATGTTAGTTAGATGATATCATAGTTCTATCAAGTTGCGATTCGAAAATCAAACAATAAAGGATTGTATCACAATTATTTTATTCCCCAAATATTAAATCCTGCAAATACAACTATGATTTCTAAGGATATAATGATAATACTCAAGAGTTTCACCGATGAATTCTCTTAGTTGTTCGATATATTTTATATTACCTAGCTAAACATTATCAACCCTAATGTATACAACAATAATTAAAGAAGTATATGAAAAATTAAAGTTTGGAATTTCAGAGTTTACGAAAGTGTTTTTTTAATAATCAAGTGGATCTACGCCTTAGCAGCACAAGAACTCTTTTTTAATTTTAGCATTTTAACCTTTTGAAATGCTCACTAATCATCATCAAGAAGTCAGTTCCTTTGTAGTGTAAAAAGATTTCTTAGTCACATAGTTTATATTATGAAGTGTATCCAGAAAACATAAAACTCACTATTTGATTCAATGAGCTCTTCTCATTCTCATCACCTGAAACAAAATAGTCAGTAACTAAAGTACATGTGTATTACTTAATAAAATAATCAGAAAACTAATGACCATATCAAAATGTAGAATAAGCTTTCATCAATAAATTTTTGATAATGATTCCTGAATCGATTTCTTAACTGATTACAAGCTACAGATTAAATACAATTTGAATATTGTTTCATAACTTAGTTTCACCTAATCATTTAGAACTAAGCATAATACACAAATGTGTTTAAAGCTTAAATATAAATTATTTCATGTGATAGTGAACTTCTAATGAACAAGTTAGTTAGTGATTACATGGATATTGTAATGTAGTTATAATGATTTTAATTTCAATGTTGTACATAGTTATTAAATTTTCGTTTGACAACAGTAACCAATCAGTAAATAATAAACCTATAATATTCATTACATACGAAAACAGAGCCAACTAAACAGAGATCATTGTCTATTATAAAGCTATTATTCTTCTTATTAATGTGAATTTACATGAACGAAAATTCGAATAAGAACTGGAAATGAATGAAAAGTAAATCTATTTTATTGTTAACTATGTCTACATAATTTACTTTTTTCTTATTATAATATGTAGAGTACATAATGAAGACATTAACTTTCTGAAAGCAATTCAATTGACATAATAATAATAATTAACAGTCATAAATATGTCGATAAAAGTTTTCTTAATCCCTATTTTCAATTTTCACCACTGAATTGTTCAGTTCCAATTAGAGTGCCATCATTTAACTCAGACATTCCATTCTTACCCCCGTCTATGTTATAAAACTTTGAATGTAAGTTACTACACAATACAAAGCTTATATCGCTTTTATATTTTGAAACTGGTTATGTTAATACAAATTTATGTTAATGTTTTTAGCAGTTGATAATTCTATGTCAACTGAAATTATGTCTACGATAATGATATACAATTGATTGATCACTAAGTGGTGATTATTGTCATGTATATCAGGTCTTTCTTAATGTAAATTGAATCCTATAGACCAAGTTTCAATGTGGCCACCAGTCTAGGTGACTCGACATTGAGTGCACTATGTTAAGATAAAATGATGTTTAGAGGTAGTCAATAGAAAACTCTGAACCTAAGAACATCAAAACGTTATTGATATTTTTTTCTATTAGCAACATTAATTGAAATTTCAACTGAGATGAATGACACTCAATCATGGGAGAGTTAAAAACAGCACAAATTATTTGACCGCCTTATTCAATTATTTTCTAATACCTATTCACAATTAATACATTATTTTCCTGAATTTTGCACATTTATATTCTAAGTAATTCTATGGATAATTATTCCAGTGCTAACGAAATTTATTGTTTAGAGGATACTTTGGATAGACTGGTTATTCAATAGCTTATTTTATCCATAGTGAACAATACGTTCTTATGTATTCTAAAATCAATCCGCATAATATAGAGAGGTGATATTAACAAGTTGGTTTGTTGTACGAATTTTAACATACATATATTTGGATAAACTATATATTTTTAGAACTAACAACATCCTAAGATGGATAGTGGCTAGCATTGGAATCAAGAACGCGCGTTTCGTTCTATTCGGGACTAGTCAGCTGGATGTACCTGCATCTCAGGGTTCATGTTCACTCTGTGACTTGAACCCAGTACTGTTTGCTTCAAACATCATCGGGTTATCAACTTAGCACCCAGCTGAAGAGTCCTAAATACGACAAAACGCGAGTTCTGTCTTCCAGTCCTAGCCACTATCCATCTTTGCTTATAATGCTTTTGAATTAAGGCAACATCGTGGCAATACGCACAGTATGCACATTAGTCAATAAAAGACTGGCCAATTGTAGTTCTGAACATTATTGAGAAGATTCAAATAAGCAATACCGGGTAAATTTAATAACATCCTAATTTTTATATGAGATCAAATATTGGTTCGTAAGACATTGAACTATTCAAAAATGTTTATAAATGGAAATTCTATTAAAGAAGGTAACTTACTTGGTTTAGAAGGTGAGTTCTACAAGAAAAATATTAATGCACTTAATGTCTAAGATAGTGAAAATGGAAGTTATATTATTCATTAACTTCGAAACTACTATTGGAATCATAGTACTGATTACTTTAACTCGATAGACTTGAAATTCAGTATACATTGTCTACGGTTTAGAGATAGCTACATGTTGATTAAAGTTATTAATTATAAAAAATTGAGATTTTTGTGGCGACCTTGGGTGTTTAGAAAAGGTATATTCAAAGTGCTATGTGAAGATTCATATATTGTTTCCATATGACTAAACTTTTAACCACGAATATCGAATATCCAATTACAAAGCAACTAATACAGTTCTATTCATTGACATCATCTTATGATTAAAATGCCTACTACAAGTTCGTATTTATATACACATATAGTATAAATACGTGGATCCGATTAGCTTTTTCACAATGTTTTGAATGTTCATACCTGTACCCCACTAAACTTTCAGACATTGAAAGAAGCCTAAAGTTATTATTTCTCTGACATCATCAGGAATCTTTTGGAAATCTAACATCATATGGAATATTTCAGACCACTCACTAAAAGCTCCCAACTGGAGTGAACGAGAACACGGGTGGGAACAAACGAATGTATTCAGCACAAAAATTACAGTCTATCTCAATAAAATCTAAATACCATAACGTCAATCGTCAATTTGTAAAATATCAATGCATTATATCAAACTGAACTGTTTCCGTTGCAAACACTAATCCATTGTCTCCCATTCCATTGTACATGCGTTTTCTTACAAATTCAATTGTGTTCTCGCTCTACCTTTTTTGATCTTCGCCATCTTCTGCTACCGGACATTACGTTCTTTTAACGCACGTTATGTACTACTTATATCAATATAAGTAGCCCACACCACACCAACCTATGATTCATACATGCTTTCATAAGTTATTTGTAACTTTTGCCAAAAATCTAACTAAGGTTATTCATTGAGTTCCATTTGTTTAACGTACACGTATAAGATAGCATTAACTATCCTCGTTAAAATTTACTTACATCCAGTTACATGCATGTGGAACTATAACTAACATCTTACTGTCAAAATATCCTAATAATTAACTATCACATCACTGTGAATACATTTTAAAATGTTATAATCTATTTTTTTATAATTTTTTCCGTCAGACTTTCATTCATACAGATTTTGTGCTGATTAGAGACTAAGTCTATTTTTAATTCAGTTATATTTATATTATAAAATATCTTTAGCAATGGTTATTGATAACTATTTCAAGAATGTGTAGAGGTGAGACTATGAGTTATGGACGAGCCAATCAGAAGCGTCCGATAGATTTCTTGGTCACGGTGTCAATTTCAATATCTGATGCTCACGTACGATCGGTTCATAGCGAAGTTTGGAGAAAACATGATAATTGAGCGGCTACAACGAATGGGACTTTTAAGAAGTTCCGTTATTTGTGATTGTGGTAATCAAATGACTTGTGGACCTTGTGCAGACTACCGATTGAAACTAAGCCAGATCATGATAATTGTTGCGAACTGAATAATAAAAGCACCAGTAACATTGGCTGAAGCCGGGTACTACAATATACACGGATGATTGGAGAGCGTACAGATGACTACATAGACTTGGTTGTATGCATCGTGTCGTTATCCACAAGCGGCATTTTGCGGACCCAACAACCGGAGTGCACACAAACAATATTGAAGCTATCTGGTCGAGGCTGAAAGAGTTTTTGCAATTTTATCATGGCTCCAGAGGCCGATTATTTTGGAGCCATACAGATGATTTCCTCTACCTCATACATTATGATTTTAGAACATTTTAACCTCTTTTTAACCTTGACAAGTTTTTAAACCATTTAAAAGAAGTGTATCCACTTTAATTCTTTGATTTTGTATTAAATATTTTTACTCTGTACTAACTCTTTTCTGATTAGCTAATACTTTTCAAAGTCACTTGGGTCTCGTTCAAGGGTAATCCATAAATTATAGTCTCATCGTATTTACAAATATAAAATAATTAGTTTATGCATGGAACTCACAACAATATTTTTTGATGAATTATTCAGTTTTGAAATCACTTCACTTTCTAAAATATACATTTACACAAATAATTAAAGTTAGTAACTTAATCAAAAAAATTTTCAGAATACAATAATTTTCAGTTTAAGTGTTATGGGGTTTGTTAAGTTTTTTGGTTGAAATCATGAGTCAATTGAAGCTAGATCACAATGGAAAACCTGGAATCACTGGACGGCCGTTTCATCTTAGTATGAGAATCCTCAGCAGTGCGCATCCACGATCCCGCCCCCTGAGAGATTCGAACCCAAGACCCATTAGTCTCGCGCCAGGCGCTAAACCAACTAGACCACTGAGCCAGCATCTAATGGTGTTAATGTCCAACCTGAACCAATCCACGAAATTGCGCAACCATCTTCCATTGTACTGAGGTAGACAACTGTTTCTTCCCGACACAGATTAGCTCCACCGGTCACAGCTTCTTATCAGATCTCCGGGAATAATTTATTCATTTATATATCTTTTCAGAAATGAATCCCACTGTAGTTTACATTCATGAAAGAAATTTTATTTCATTTCTTCTTGAGAAATTATTATAGTTAATTTTGATACAAAGTTGAACAATGGTTAACAGTGGGATCCAGGATACACATTTTGTTCCATTTTGAACTAGCTATCCATTTAACTATTGATTTCAGGCGGACATCAGCTTATCTGACAGGGAAACGTTTTATTTCACTTTTAAGTATCTAAATCTTCCAGTTGTTAATGTTGAGGACTGAAATTAATCACTCTTATTTATGTACTTATAAATGTTTCCTGGGCAGACAACTTCGGTATTTCCACTAAGTTAAAAGCACTTTTATGCAAAGTTGGATCTTTACTAGAAATATAGATTGATCAATTGCAAACCTTAACATTAACAACGTGAAAAATTAAAAGCGTACAAAAATGAAATAATTATGATTAATTTCTTTTATTATTCCAATGATTTAATAGACATCATTTAGAGTCAATATATTTATAGAGTCTTGAACATCTAATCGTAACAACTACTACCCATAATGAATCCACTTATAACGTTTAATAATTAGTTTTCAATTACTTAATTTGGCGAATGCTAGGCATCGAATAAACTAACCATGAACCTTGTTATATCCCTGCGAGTGTTATGAATGGTAAATTTTGAGAACTATTCATGGACTATTACGATACATGTATTTTTATTGTATAATTATTAAGTAACTAAACTATTCATATTCGCGTTCTTCTTACCATAAGCTTTATTTTGACCTATGAACTGTTATTATACGATTTACCATTCTTGAATTATGCCCTGTCTATCAATTACTATCTCCCACATTCACAGCCATATTTGGCTAAATCTTGCACAAATGTTGTTTTCTATTTTATGGTACGATGTGGTCTGTTTGGATTATATATGTAAACCCAGTATGTTTGAAATAAATGATTCATATCTTCTGGACTTAAAAGGAAGGGTTAGGCTGGAAGTAGCGCAGATAAAGATTCTAGGCTGCTCTTACGAGTTTTGTGCGGCATTGGTCCGGTCATTAATACACTGTTCTCTAGTTGGCGGTATCATTACATTATACAATAACAGGGCTAAAGGCATATATCCAACAAGATAAAACAAGTATTCGTTCATCTTCATAACTCCTAAGCTTATCACTTTAAATTCGTCTTAAAATATATCTAATGTATATTCCGCTGAAAAGTTGACAAAACTCTACAAAAAACATTCTGTTCATGAACTGTAATTCACAAAACGTCTTTATCAACAAACCCTCATCTCAAAATAATAGCTTTAATCTATTCTTATTACTTTGTCTTTCAATCAAATGCATACAATGCGAGCTGTTTACTCAAATGAGATGAACTAATAAATGATTAGTCTTTTCCTTTATACTCTCCCCTGATTCTTCCATAAAAATAAAAGCTATCACTGTCAAATCATTGCATAAACTTACTTGCCTTACGTAGATTATTTTGAAGTGGTTTAAACCTCACATCAATTTTTAACGGACTGGTTTCTTTTGTTTCAGTATAATGATTAAACCAATCACCTGTTTTACAGATACATTTCCTGTTGTAAAAAAAAGGAAATTGGGTAAAACGTTTATTTTTTTCATCAAAATATTCATTCAATAATCAGTATGACGTAACCTCAACTGTCTTCTAGCAGTTAAACGTATAATTGTTAAACTGAACAAATATATTCATAACAGATCTTCATGACTACCTCATTACAAATTAATAATGTTCAATCAATGATATTGTGAGGACGGCCCACATGTGAACTTGAAGAAGCTCTAAGAAGCTCAGAAAGAACCGAAGATATTCCATCCCATCATCTTTTAGAAGAATCCCTACGTGTAGCTTCCCTATTAGACAAATGCTAATAACCTCCTGTGTATGGATTGGAAGACTATTATGATGATTTCGTTTTTACTAAGAACTATAAATATAGGACAGTTTTGTACCATAATTTACACTGTTTAGAATAGAAGTCCTTTCACCTGTCTTCTATCTTCTCTGTTGCGACTTGCGAGGGTTCTAGAGTTCGAATGCTTAAGTCTTACGCAGTGTATTAAGAATCTAAGCTCTAGATATAACAGATTTCATATTACACTATCCATTTTAACTGATAAGTAACCTGGTGAGACTAGAATGATAATGCCAACGCAGCCTTATAATGAAAACTTGTGGAGTTAATAATTACAACTTACTTACTTACGCCTGTGACCTCCAATAGAGCATAAGTAAGTTGTAATTATTAACTCCACAAGTTTTCATTATAACATTGCGTCGGTATTATTATTCTTGTCCCACTGGCCTACTCGCTAAAAAAACACTAATTATTCTAGTCCCACTGGCCTACTCGCTAAAAAAACACTAACTAGAAAATAATAATAATTGTCAATACAATCATTAAATAAATTGACGATTTTACTTACAAGTTTAAATATGTGAATTCAGTACTCTCTTAACAGATCCAAAACATTTTAGTTTAAACACCAACTAATTTTAATAAATACTTGAGTTTATTATTATAAATTTCTTAAAATATGTAGTTTAGTTTTATTTGGCATATATCCCATATACATATTAATACTCAACCTACTCAATATATACCGTTTTAAGTAAACCTCAAATTAGATATTCAGTTCATATAAGCTTAGTAATGCAAGTAATAAGTCAAAATATATCTTAAAATAGCATTGAATTTTTACAGGTAGATCGTATATTTCCTTGTTGCTATGAGCTCTGAAATGAATATTTGAAAACATGATTTTGACTTCTATCATAGACTTTGTTAATGAGATTTGATGAGATAAATTATATCCATTCTGCTAACTGTTTTAACTACATATCTTGTTTTTTAATTTATGTTTTAAAAGTTGACTAATTTCAAAGTCTTTCAGAAATTATTTGTAGCTGAACAGGTCTAATTTGATGGATATATTTTTCAGTTTCTACTCTTTGTCACTTATATCCCAAGACGTTTTATCTAGAGATTATAAGAATAAACCACTAACATGTAAACAAATATGAATCAATCGCGTTATGACTAGTGATCGATTGTTATGACTGTGTCATCAATTGTTATATCTGATCATCACTGATTATTATGTCAGAATAGTTTATCACTTGTACTTGTAAAGCGAGGAACCATTACAATTCTCACTGTGAGAAAATAAGAATACAAAGACTGATACAAGTGAAGTTTTGTTAACCCCAAAACACGATGACAACCTTAGTCTAAAATACACTCATTTATAGATTGATTAATAATTAGGATGAAATCATATATATGAAAAATACTTACAGTTATAACAAATCATATGCTATATGTCATGCTGAGCACAGTATATCGTACGTTATACCGAATAAAATGTCATACAGAATAACAGAAACAAATACTACACTGTGTAATCATTGCATTGAATTAAAACAGAAATAATGTGGAACAAAAATTATAATGAGTAAATCAATCTAATTTTGACATTTCTTTCCGTCATATCAGGTTGAAATTACAGTCTGATTTTAGGTGCTATAGGAATTTATTTTAAAATTGACAGTACAACCTGTAACAAATTAATTAGCGTTAAATATATAGACCGATGAGTGACACTTCAATGATCCAATAGTTCTGTTACTTATGATATTATGTGAATATATTAATAAACATTATTGAATTAGTACTGAGTCTCTATTGTTCCCGGTTTTCAATTGTTCATCTTTAATCTTTATCACTTTGAAATGGTATATCATGATCTAGTTAGCCAGTTTTACATACAGCTTTTCTTATACAATAACATGCTTTACTCTCTTCACAACCTTCTTTTTGTAGAATATTTTGAGAAGTGTCAAACATATCGAAAATAAATGTTGCATTTATAAATGATTTTATTAGGTTAAAAATCTTTGAAAAGGCTATAGAGAGTGGTTACACACAAGAATTATCATTTCAATTAAATAATAACAACTAACTATTTCTGTAATATAAAAGAAATTCCTCAACTGTAAACTATAATATAACGCTATCAACTGTTTTTAATTGAAATCATGAATTGATTGATGTTAGACCAGCATTGAAAACCTGGGAGCACTGAACGGTTGTTTCGTTCTGTTGTGAGCCTCTTCAGCAGTGCACATCCACAATCCCGCTCGCGAGATATAAACAATTTGTTTAACAATGATATGTGAAACTTTCTAAACTCATATATTTTTTAAAAAAAACAATAGTTTTAGAATAATTTGAAATATTCCCATATTGAAAATTTAGAACAACATATATAAGCGAACAATATTGTTTTCGATTAGATCCTCATCATGCTTTACTCTAATATACAGTAATATTTATATGCATATACGAAATTATTAAACCAATCAAGGTAGTTTATAAGTCAATGATAACAATGGAAAAGATTACATAATAAGTAAAATGTGAAAAGTACAAATTGATGGTGTGACAACAGGTGCATTAGTTTTGATAAGCAATAATAATAAAGGGTCAAATCAATGTTACATAATCTAAAATAGGTCAATGATTAGAAAAATATAGAAACTGAGATAACAATTATAAAATTATAAGGTGACGTAATAAGAAATGTTCAGATAATTGGACCATGAAACGTATAGTTGAGAGAAAATAAAGTGGTAGGAGGGTGTGAAGAAAAATAATAAACGAAGAGAAAGAAAAGGAATAAATAAATAAATTCATTTATTAATTAGGGCCAAGGGAGAGATAAGGGAGTTACAAATTTCTTCTGAGCACAAAGACTTGGCTTGTTGGTTCGGATTCCTATAGCTTCTGCTATGTGTAAGAGACGAGATCGAACACCATAAGGAAAACTAGTGGAAATCCGATAAATAACTTTGAACGACTTGTTTCTGTTCACTATATGACCGCTATCGATCAAGTGTGATAGAACCGAGCTGCGTATTGTTTTGACGTAACCTTTTCCGAATCACGATGGGAGGTGTTCACTAACTCGTTGGTTCCGTTGCCTGGTAGTGCGCCCAATATAGCTTTCTACACAGGAGCAGCTGAATTCGTAGATACACATAGAAGTGGCATAACCAGGTAACTTATCCTTCAATTGCGGAATCACCATCGATCGGGTCGAATACGATAGGCAGAGGTTGGCAGCATTAAACGTTCTCTTTACTGATCTAGTCAATCTATCCCGTAATACATCGCTAGCCAAATCACCATTGAATTGCAGTTTTAGAATAGTCAGAAAACACTTCCCATATAAATAAAGATCATGTGAAGATTTCCGTTGAGGTTTGACTTGTATCAACAACAGACAATGTTAAAACTATCAGTTTTCTATTTATTGTTTTAAAAGTACTTTAATCACATAAAGATTATAAATTTGCGAACTAGATTCACTACGATGTTGTAACTGTTCACTTCTGATATATTTCAAATTGTAATTTTCAATTGGTTTAATATCATAGTCAGTGAATTAACTGACTGACAATCATTTTATTTTCTTATGACTTTATCCAAAAACATGTTACTGATTACCATAAAATCATAATATGCATTTTCTGAATAAATTCCTCGACGAATTTATGTCAGTTGAAAAACCATTAATTTACAGAGAGCGTTCAATACATACTTATATTTTCGGTAGTGCACATTTAAAAACATAATTAAAAATAACCTCAAAAACTTAAAGTTTGCAGAGATCATAGTTCATTTAGATTATATAAACAAAATAAACGTTTGTAGCTATAACTATTTAGCCATCCTATCCCATACACATGAACAAATGCAGATAAAGACAACCAGTGTAGCAGCAGTCTCTGCATCAGTAGGCTTCAACATACACAAAGGGAAAACAAAGGTCTTCAAATAAACACGGAGAACACCAACCCAATCACACTTGATGGCGAAACTCTTGGAGTGTGGAATCCTTCACGTACCTGGAAAGCATCATCGATGAACAAGGATCAGATGCAGACCTAAAGGTGAGGATTGGCAAAGCAAGGACAGCATTCCTACAATTGAACAGCATATGCAACTCTAAACATCTGTCTCTCAACCAATATCAAGGTCACAATCTTCAATACGAATGTCAAGGCAGCTCTACTGTACGGAGCTGAAACTTAGAGAACTACTACCAACTACCACCAACAACAAGGTACAAGTATTTATAAATAGTTATCTACGCAACATGCATTGGCCGGATATCATCAGCAACAGCCTTCTCTGGGAAAGAACAAACCAGATTCCAGCTGAAGAGGAAATTAGGAAATGACGATGGAAATGGATAGGGCATACATTACGCAAATCATCAAACTGGATCACGAGGCAAGCCCTAACTTTGAATCTTGAAGAGATGCGGAAACGAGGAACGCTGAAGAACACATTGCGTCGGGAAATAGAATCACATATGAAAAAGATGAATAACAACTGGAACGAGCTGGAAAGGACAGGGTTGGATGGAGAATGCTAGTGAGTGGCCTATGCTCGTTCACGAGGAGTAACAGGCGTAAGTAAGTAAAGTAGCTTAAACCAAGAATAACGAAATCTAATTGCGTATTTTTGTATTACGTCTCAGAGAACAA